GAGTCGCCACCGACCACTTTAAAACGAATTTAGGTGGGTCGGACACCATCTTACCTGATATGCATTTTACCAGAAACATGTCGGGTTCGGGAGTCGGTTACGGTCAAGGAAGGATTAGCACCCTTGAACCGCCCTTTCGGTACCAATTAATTTATCGGTTATCTTTAATTGCAAAAATTAAAATTAAAATTGAAATTTAAAACATTCGATTCAAATTACCCACCTTTGATTGATTGAAATTATCCTATATGTAAAAAAAATCAAATAAATAAAGTAAAAAATAAAAAAACCAAAGAGTTATAATTCCAAGCATGTCCAATATGAAAAAGTAGTCAATGGAAAAAGGATTTCATTTCATCTCTTCATATTGGCGTACATATTGTAATTTTTCTGCTCTAACTTGAGCCATCAGCTCCAAATTTAAAGCAAAATGGTATAGATTGAACTCCAAAACTAGATTTGAAATGCTACTGCCCATATACAATATTTACTATGGTCGAGCTGTTTTGGCAGGACCAAAAGAAATCAAATGCCACTAACGTAGTTCACAAGAAGCCTAGTTAATAAGATTAATGATTTATTATAATGCGTAATGATCAAATTTTTTTTAAAACCAAAAACTAAGTACTTTGTGAAAGTTATTGGTTTCCATTTTCAATCACTAGATGCCTGTATGAAAGTGACATGAAAGAAAATCAATCTCATCAGTTGTGTTGTTTGTTCCTTCACCTTGTTTCTCTAAGGCTAGACGTGGAGCCCATGTATTTATTGAAGCAATTAAAGAGTGATGGAACGAACGAATTCTAAATGCAAAACAAATAAATGGCATGCATGTATCTGAATTTGATAATCCATTACCGATTTATAAGTCTTCGGATTCGTCTGACAATTGTTGTTTCATGAGAGCGAGGGGAAGACTCCAAGCAACGAACGGTTTCGACGCTATTCACCTCCACGATCAATTTCTACAGGCCTCGTTCCCAAGCAACCTCGAGGCCATCAAGAACCTGCAAGAATTTAGCTTGTAAAATTGAGCAGCAGCCAATATTTCTGGTGCAACCAACGATCCAGTCTCCTCTGCCGTCTCTGATCACACCAACGCTGGACGGCTTCATAGTCATGGGATTCACACCACAATCGGTGTTGGGTTTAAAGGTCCTCGCTCTTGGTGGGTTCCAATGGCCACCTTTGTTGCCAACACCGTTTCGAGGAGCAACGTTCTTCAGGTTTGAGCTTTGACAGATTAGATTCTTGAGTCATTTCACCTTTCTGCATCTCAGGCGTGGAAACAACATTATCAGACTTTAACAAATCTTTTAGCTGATCTCTATGAGTTCCCGGACAGGTTTGAAATGTTGCAAGGACAGGAGGAATTGGCACTGCGAGAGCAGAAAGCACATTACTCAAGTAACTTCCCCTTTCCAGTTTTTTGCTTTTGTTCCCCCCACTCAACTGTATGTGCTTCCCCCATTTTATATTCCAAAAAAGAAGACCCCCTCCTCAGCAAAAGACGTGAGGTGAGGGCGCAACCAACTCCCCATGAATAGGAACGATTGAGATATGTGGGGTTGGAGTTGAATGGGTTAAGTGATGCTGGATTTAATTTGTTGGGCTGCTGAATTGTGTTGGCCTGCACAAATATAATAATATTAATTAATTAATAATAAGTAATAATAATAATAAATAAATAATAATATAATAAAATGTTTTTTGTAGACCCGGACAAAAACGAGTGTCTACAACTGCCCCTCTTTGCACATTTTTGTGTTAACAAGAATAGGACAAAGATGAAAAAGACAACCAGTTTTTGTCCGGTTTTCTTTGATTTTAGACTTGATAGTGTTTGTTGTGACACTAAGTCGATCCATTGGGCATGATATCCTTATTCGTGAAGTTGAAATCATGGGTGAATCGGAAAGTGACTCTTTGTTGCCAATCTTGGTCGACCTTGGTCTTCTTCTCGATTTAAAGACTTTGGCTAAAAATTCGACTGGAAATTAGTCCCTTGACTCCACCATATGGCTGATAGGTCTTCGAGCTGAATAAAATCGAACTCGAAAGGTCCTCGTCGACATATGACTTTTCTTGACTTAAGCTATACTGCCGGGAAGTGATTTTTTGTCACTAAGGCACGGTTAACCCAAGTCTTCTCCTCGACTTGAAAATCTCGATTGCAGCAGGGCAGTAGTGTGATTGAGGTGTCATCAAGCTGAATGGAATCGAACTCGACAAATTTATTGACAGATAGCCCTTCTTGCCTTGAACTATGTTGTAAATTTGATTTGCCTCTGAGTTGAATGTAATCGAACTCGAGGGTCTTTGGTTGGCAGATATCCCTTCTCGCCTTAAGCTATGCTGCAAAAGATGTGCCTTTGAGCTGAGCGTAGTCAAACTCTAAGGTCTTTGGTTGGTAGATAACCCTTCTAGCCTTGAGTTATGCTGCAACTGATGTGCCTTGGAGCTAAGCGTAGTCGAACTCAAAGGTCTTTTGTTTCAAGAGAAACTGTCTCAAGGGAGACGAAATTTGTTTCAATGGAAACTGTCTCAAGAGAGACAAAATTTGTTTCAAGGGAAACTGTCTCAAGAGAGACAATGGTGAGCACGATTCCCTTCGTCGTGAAGTTGAAACCGTGGATGACCCCTTCGTTGTGAAGTTGAGCTTTGGAATTGGATATCCTTCATCGTGAAGTTGAAATCCAATGTGTTGTATTGTTCCAAGTCCAATATCCTCTGCCGTGAAGTTGAAATTGACTCTGGAACTGGGAAATTGTTTATTGACAACCAGCGGTCCCTTCGTCGTGAAGTTGAACTTGTGTTGTCTGGAGTCCAATATCCTTCGTTGTGGAGTTGAAATTGGCTCTGAAATCGGGAAATTGTTTATTGACAACCAGCGGTCCCTTCGTCGTGAAGTTGAACTTGCGTTGTCTGGAGTCCAATATCCTTCGTTGTGAAGTTGAAATTGGGAAATTGTTTATTGACAACCAGTGGTCCCTTCGTCGTGAAGTTGAACTTGCGTTGTTTGGAGTCTAATATCCTTCGTTGTGAAGTTGAAATTGGGAAATTGTTTATTGACAACCAGCGGTCCCTTCGTCGTGAAGTTGAACTTGCGTTGTCTGGAGTCCAATATCCTTCGTTGTGAAGTTGAAATTGGCTCTGAAATTGGGAAATTGTTTATTGACAACCAGTGGTCCATTCGTCGTGAAGTTGAACTTGCGTTGTCTGGAGTCCAATATCCTTCGTTGTGAAGTTGAAATTGGCTCTGAAATCGGGAAATTGTTTATTGACAACCAGCGGTCCCTTCGTCGTGAAGTTGAACTTGTGTTGTCTGGAGTCCAATATCCTTCGTTGTGAAGTTGAAATTGGATCTGAAATCGGGAAATGTGTTTGTTGACAGACAACTTTTCTTAACTTCAGTTGTGCTATAAACTTCCTTTAAATGAATGATGGCCCCTTTCGCCAAATTTTGTCAGCCGGATATCTTCCGTCGTGGAATTGAAATCTAGCTTGAAAGTGTTAACTGAAAACATGCTACTCATGGTTGAGTTTGAGTTGAACTGGATTTGATCTGAATTGGTTCTGAGATCTGTAGATACGTCAAGTCGGTTGAGGTGTAACTTCTCACTGCTGAGTTAAGCAACCACCATCGTCATTTAAAGGCACTTGCGAATCGAGTATCCTTCATCCTGAAGTCGAAACTTGATTCTAAAAGATGCAAAAATCTTGTATGTTAAAATGATGAATGTGATGCACCTAAGCATGTCTATGATGCATGCAACATGAATGAATTATGTTTTATCTCTTGGGTTGGAGTCCCGGGTTTTGCCTGCCAATCTGGTTCATGGAGTTGATCGTGGCCCATTTGCTTCTCGAGCTTTGGCTTTACAGACCTTTCATATCTGAGACTGTCCTGTTTGAAAATGTTTTTCTCCCTTTTTCTTGTTTTAGGAGGGAAAATGATGAAAATTCTGTAAAATATTGTTCGTAATTTAATCAAATTGTAAACATGAGTTCAAAGTATATCAAAGGAATCAATAGCACTTTTTATGATTTCAGAGTTACAGCTCTTTGAAAAATGTTCAAAGGGATGAGTTGGCTTTAGGTTGGCCTCCTATTTTCTAAGGTTCTGGCAAAAAGAAAAAAATGTCATTTTTCTTGGTCATTGAACATGTTTTGGCATTTTGATTGGATGCGGACAAAATGACGCAACTAGCAAGATCAATTACTAGACCTTTTATATCGGTTCTCTGAAACCTTTCTTTTGTTCAAGCTTTGTAAACTCCTCTAACAAAGGTAGTGCAGAAATATCGGTCTAAAAATGAAATTCTTGAGTGCTCGTGTGAAACTGACTATAACAGGTGTTCCTTAACTCCCTTAGTCCATCATTACCGAAAATTTCTTGTTTAGATAAATTTGATTTAATTTGCCGTTATCTGGATAGCCGAATCCATAAAGCTGGGGCGTTCAACCAATTGCTTTAGAGGGACAGCTTAATATTATAATCACTTTTATCAGGTTTAACTGAAGGGTTCATCTCATCACAAAGTCTTCGACCTGACAAAAGCAGTGGAGCAAACACCGAATTGCCAAGTGTCCGAGCAATATCATGGTTTGAATGCAATCTATTCATAAAGCCAGGGCTTTCGAGTTTCCTCTATAACCAATTGCCTTAGTGGAATAGCTCAGTTTTACGGATTTAATTTTTTAAGATCGTCAAGAAGAACCTGTTATAGTTTAGGTGTTGTTGAGAGTAAAAAATTTCATCTTTAGAGTTCAATTTTCAAGCAACTGACCTAAACTAGATTCACCTACTCGACTATTCCATTTGTAAAGATCATTATCATCACTGAACGTCTTAAATAAAAAGCATAGTAATGTCATATGCAAATGATGCCCCACGCTGTCCGCACCTTATGAAAGGAAAATGTTACATTGGTTAATTGCAAGAGCACGGTACGGTGTTTGAGTGTATATTCTGGGTAAGGTTAAAGTCCTTGTTTCAGATTATGTTACTTGTCAAAGATCTGTAACTTTGAACCATTTACAGAGTTTCTTAATTCAGATGATATTCAAAGAATTGCAAGTTTACAAATGTGATTCATTGCTCGCCATCATTAAAGCAACATAAATTTATTTAAAAGTCCTTACAAAAACTTGAGAAATAATGAAAAAACATATTCAAACAGAATGCCTCAAATGATAAAATGATCTTCCTCACTTGGATGCCCCCAAGTTGTTGAAGTCGATTCGATTCTTGTTACGTATTTTCTGTATGATTCTCTTGATTGTGGAGTAATTCTCGATAGTACGCCCTGGGACTCCGCTATGATTTTCGCAATGAGTGTTCTCATCATACTACTTGGGGTACGGGGCTTCATGGATTTTTCTGGATATGGTGACACCACGTGTGCGTCAAACAACTGTTGGTAAAACTCCTTATATGTCATAAGATCGAAATGTTCTCATTTTTTATGAGACATGTGAATGTAATAAAAAAAGGGAAAAAATAATGCGAATGTAAAGAAAAATAAAAAAATGCACAATATGTCGGAATGCATGATGCATGAAATGTTCGAGGCATTGATCCAAAAAAATGTACCTGTTATTATAAATAATCCTTATTGGGACAAAAGTGTTACGTCTTAAGAGACAAAAATATCTTGAAGGCATAGACCCCGAACAGCTTCTGATAGGTTGACTAGTCTTCTGCCTTCGTCTGTCACCGGTTGAATACCCTGTCAAACCGTTTCGGCTCCTTTGGCTAAAATGTGCAAATAACGAGCTGCTTGCCCCAAAAAAGGTCTCGAAGGACTGCATCTCCGACTTTCACTCTCTGCCGAGCTTGTTTTTAACGAAAGTGCCATTGGAGCCCTCCATCGAGAGAAACTATCCGAAGCTTGCTTCTTGAATTCGTCAGCAATGGCATCCAACTCAGCTAGGGTTTCACCATCTTGTTCTTGTAGTTTTCGAAAGTAGCGACCGGGTCAGTGACCTTTTACTCGTCTTGCACCTACAACTTTGCCTTTGAGTATTCTTTGACCACGGTTGGACTTCTGAGTTTTTTATCTCTTTGTATTATAACCCCTTTGTCCGTTAATGCAAATTATTTACGTTTAACAAACACATTTTTAGTGGATCAACACCTCGTTTTAATGATGCGAATGATAAAAAAATGCCAAAGAATAAAAATGAAAGGAGGAAAAAAAAAGTAAGTGAGATAATGATGATAATAAAAAAATGATAAAAATGATCCTACCCCACATGATATCTACACCACATGCTTATTATTCCTACCCGGACATGATCTCTATCCCGCATGTTAATTTCAAACAAATCCTAACCGCATATTTTTCTAATTCACATGCTTTGAACAGAAAGTAAAATAGGAAATAAAAGGAGCCTAGGGTTTGGAATGAGGTTTTGGGGTGGGCTCTAATTCCCTGCACTCTCCCGGTTTAGGTTCTAAAGAGGTACCCGAGTTACCCTTGCTGGTGCCCCCTTGGGCTTACCAGACCCTTAGTCCTAAGCCCATTACAAGCTTATGTGGACTAAGTTAAACTCGAGAGGAAACATTCTCTTATGCCCATACGGAGAATAAATTCACACGAAGGCATAAGGTATATGAATCCCGAAGGTTACTTGCTAGGCCCATACGGTGAATAAATTCACACGAAGGCGTCGCTTTCGCCCCCACTTAAAAGGGTTCGGAGCTCGGGTATAGAGCCAGAGATGGAAACTTTTAAAGATTTGAAATCATTGAAAAAAATGTCAGTACAACTATTTACTTGAAAGATAATCAAAGGTAAATAAATGGAATCGAATAAATAAATTAAAATTTACAATTTTCGCACAAAAAGACAACCGAAAATTAATTCTGGCCTGACTCACTTACCTGTCCCCAGCAGAGTCGCCAAGCTGTCGGAACCGTCTTTCGGTTGGGCCTCGGAATTGGGCTTCGACTTGGATTAAATGTGGTTAGGAGTCGCCACCGACCACTTTAAAACGAATTTAGGTGGGTCAGACACCATCTTACCTGATATGCATTTTACCAGAAACATGTCGGGTTCGGGAGTCGGTTACGGTCAAGGAAGGATTAGCACCCTTGAACCGCCCTTTCGGTACCAATTAATTTATCGGTTATCTTTAATTGCGAAAATTAAAATTAAAATTAAAATTTAAAACATTCGATTCAAATTACCCACCTTTGATTGATTGAAATTATCCTATATGTAAAAAAAATCAAATAAATAAAGTAAAAAACAAAAAAACCAAAGAGTTAGAATTCCAAGCATGTCCAATATGAAAAAGTAGTCAATGGAAAAAGGATTTCATTTCATCTCTTCATATTGGCGTACATATTGTAATTTTTCTGCTCTAACTTGAGCCATCAGCTCCAAATTTAAAGCAAAATGGTATAGATTGAACTCCAAAACTAGATTTGAAATGCTACTGCCCATATACAATATTTACTATGGTCGAGCTGTTTTGGCAGTACCAAAAGAAATCAAATGCCACTAACGTAGTTCACAAGAAGCCTAGTTAATAAGATTAATGATTTATTATAATGCGTAATGATCAAATTTTTTTTAAAACCAAAAACTAAGTACTTTGTGAAAGTTATTGGTTTCCATTTTCAATCACTAGATGCCTGTATGAAAGTGACATGAAAGAAAATCAATCTCATCAGTCGTGTTGTTTGTTCCTTCACCTTGTTTCTCTAAGGCTAGACGTGGAGCCCATGTATTTATTGAAGCAATTAAAGAGTGATGGAACGAACAAATTCTAAATGCAAAACAAATAAATGGCATGCATGTATCTGAATTTGATAATCCATTACCGATTTATAAGTCTTCGGATTCGTCTGACAATTGTTGTTTCATGAGAGCGAGGGGAAGACTCCAAGCAACGAACGGTTTCGACGCTATTCACCTCCACGATCAATTTCTACAGGCCTCGTTCCCAAGCAACCTCGAGGCCATCAAGAACCTGCAAGAATTTAGCTTGTAAAATTGAGCTGCAGCCAATATTTCTGGTGCAACCAACGATCCAGTCTCCTCTGCCGTCTCTGATCACACCAACGCTGGACGGCTTCATAGTCATGGGATTCACACCACAATCGGTGTTGGGTTTAAAGGTCCTCGCTCTTGGTGGGTTCCAATGGCCACCTTTGTTGCCAACACCGTTTCGAGAAGCAACGTTCTTCAGGTTTGAGCTTTGACAGATTAGATTCTTGAGTCATTTCACCTTTCTGCATCTCAGGCGTGGAAACAACATTATCAGACTTTAACAAATCTTTTAGCTGATCTCTATGAGTTCCCGGACAGGTTTGAAATGTTGCAAGGACAGGAGGAATTGGCACTGCGAGAGCAGAAAGCACATTACTCAAGTACCTTCCCCTTTCCAGTTTTTTTCTTTTGTTCCCCCCCCCACTCAACTGTATGTGCTTCCCCCATTTTATATTCCAAAAAAGAAGACCCCCTCCTCAGCAAAAGACGTGAGGTGAGGGCGCAACCAACTCCCCATGAATAGGAACGATTGAGATATGTGGGGTTGGAGTTGAATGGGTTAAGTGCTGCTGGATTTAATTTGTTGGGCTGCTGAATTGTGTTGGCCTGCACAAATATAATAATAATAATTAATTAATAATAAGTAATAATAATAATAAATAAATAATAATATAATAAAATGTTTTTTGTAGACCCGGACAAAAACGAGTGTCTACACATACATTTCAAAAAGAAATTTGACTTGTGAAAATTCATAATCATCTCTCATAAAATGTATTTTAAAATTTTTCAAGCAACTCATTCTTTACCTAAAAAATGAAAATTATCTAGAAAAGAGATGCAATAAATATGAAGATGGAAATGAAAATGAATGTAATGAATATGAAGACAGAAATGAAAATGAATGTAAAAATAAAAATAAATCTAAGTGAAAATATCTCAAAAATTGAAATGACATGAAATAAAAATACTAAATCTGGAATTCCTAGCTTTACACCGAGCAACCATATTACCACAATACAATTAGATAAGAATGTGGTTTAATTGTACACTTTCATGAATGTTTTAAATCTATAAGCACAGCCACACCTTCAGATGCTGAACCCAAGGCATTTAAATCATGTAACCAAAACTACTAGAGTCGGGGTAAAGCCAAGATTGTTTTTAGAGGGTCAAAATATATTTACATTTTTTTTTAAAAACAATTTTAAGGACCAAAGGAGGAACTTTCCTTACAAGGTCTTTCAATGACAATATGTAGGAGTAAAATGTAAGATGAAATTTGAATTATTTACACGTTTTTGATCGTTAAAATAGTTGTCAACGGTGAAAATGAAAAAGAAAGACCTAAGCTTAAAGATAGATATATATATATAAAGGAAGCAAATCGAATTTTCAAATGTTGCGTCGTGCGCCTAAGGCATCGGTCCACTTGCTACTTCCGAAGAACTCCATAAAGAAGAAGCCAAAATCTCAAAATATACTGTATGCAAACGCGTTTGGCGTTGCGGTTGCATTTGCAAAGAAAAACATGCTCACCATTTGATGGAAAACAATTCTCCTATTTTTTCTATGTATTTGGTTTAAAACCCGTAAGTTTCGCTGCTCCTTTGGCATTCTGTCTTTTTTTGTTTTCTTTTCTCTCCTCTGTTTATTTTTATTTTTATTTATTTCGTTGTTTTGAGCGCAACCCAGATTTTATTGTGGCTTTTTTAATGATTAAGACACTTAGCTTGGAAATCTCAACTGGGTATTTCTTTTTTCTCCTCCTCTTTGGGGTTTGTCCTTTCTTTCGATTGGTAATGTTTGAAGCTTGGAAAAATTATGTGTTCTTTCTTTTGTTCCATTGGTGATTTATGTTTTGATTAATCCGAGTGGGAAAGTTGGTTTTTGGACAAACATAGTTTGACATTGCATCGAAAAGGGAGGAAAACTTTGTTGGGATTTGACATTGGGCGTGGAAGGGTTGTTTTCATTCACTTTTCGCTGTCTCATTCTATGGTTTCTTT